GGCCGAGGTAAATCGTCAGGTTCAGGAAATGTTAAAAGAAGGTATAATTGAGGAAGCGGACAGCCCATATAGCTCGCCGGTACTCTTGGTAAAGAAACCAAATGGAAAGTATAGATTTTGTGTCGACTTCAGAGAATTGAATAATATAACAGACCTGAAGCCTTGTGCAATGCCAACAGTGGTGGAAACATTAGATCGGCTACAGAATGCCACGGTGTTTACAGTGCTGGATTTACGGTCAGGTTATTGGCAACTGCCTATAAAAGAGAGTAATCGGAGCAAGACAGCGTTTACTGTACGTGATAAACAGTATCAATTTAAACGAATGCCGTTCGGGTTGGCGGGTGCACCGTTCACGTTCAGAAGATTAATGACACTACTGCTCAAGAATCTAGATAATGTCGAGGTATATGGCGACGATGTAGTTGTGTACAGTCAAACAGAAACAGATCACATCAAGCATGTGGAAGCGGTCTTAAAGCGAATTGACGAATTTGGACTTCGGATTAATAAGGACAAGTCGCAGATAGCGAAAAGTAGCGTCACATTGTTGGGACATAAAGTGGGAAATGGAGAAATAAAACCATTGCCGGAGAAAATTCTTACCATAAAAAATATTGCAGTACCTAATTCGAAAAGGAAGTTGAGACAGTTCCTGGGAAGAGCGGCGTTCTACAGTCGGTTTGTCAAAAATTTCAACGAAATAGCAGCACCCTTATATAAGTTATTGAGCAGCACCAAGTTTACGTGGACTGAGACTGCCGAACAAACGTTCAACCGAATCAAAAACATGCTAGACGATCGCCAGATGACGCTTAGACTGCCTGAACCGGGAAGACTGTTTACAGTGGCCACAGACGCGAGTGATCATGGTATAGGTGCTGTGTTGAGTCAGGCTGATAGAGTGGTGGAATACGCGAGTCGCGTCCTCACACCTGCTGAACAGAAGTATTCAACCATCGAAAAGGAGTGTTTAGCGATCGTGTGGGCAGTGGAAAAATGGAGACCATACCTTTTAGGTAGACGATTTCACATTGAGACCGACCATAAACCCCTGCAGTGGTTGAAAACAGCAAGAGACCCCCGAGGGAAGTTGGCGCGATGGATGATACGCCTGCAAGAATACGATTTCAGTATCGGCCATGTTCCAGGAAAAGAAAACGTAATGGCAGATTACTTGTCAAGACCAGACATGGAAGCCGACCTGCCATTAACAGCATACGCGGTGAATAGTTTAGAGGGAGACCCATTAGAACTCGTCCGGCAGCAGAAAGCTGACTCTAACCTTCGAGAGGTAATCAGAGTGATAAAAGAGGGAGCAGACGTAGATAAACGAACAATGGACAAGGAGGTAATAACGCTGCTTCGGCAAAAGGACCGACTGAGAGTGAACTCATATGGAGTGCTGACCTGGCAGGACGATGATGAGAATTGGGTGGCGGTGATCCCGAAAGACTGGCGGCGTAAAGTGATACACGAGTGTCACCAGGTAGCACATACAGGCATCGCAAGAACGACGGACTTACTACGACAAAGTGCATACTGGCCGAGCATGAGAGAAGATGTGGCTGAATACGTGTTAACCTGCCAGCAGTGTCAGCTAATGAAAAGCGATCGATACACACAACCGCCATTACAGTCAATCCCAGTAACCGCAGTCGGTGATCTATGGTCGGTGGATGTGATGGGACCGTTTCCACAGACGGCGAGCGGTAACCAGTACCTGTTAGTGATGACGGAACATGCTACACGTTGGGTAGATGCCGTACCCATTGCAGACCAGCGGGCAAGGACAGTGACCGAGGTGGTAATCCGGCATATTGTAGCGTGTCACGGAATACCGAAGATGATATTAACTGACCAGGGTCCCTGTTTTGAAAGTGACGAGTTTAAAGCCCGTTTAAAGCAGTTTGGCATCAAGAGAATACGAACTACACCGTATCATCCTCAGACAAACGGGCTTACAGAGAGAAACAATCGGACGTTAAAGGAATGGTTAGCATCAAAAGGAGGAAATTGGGAGAAAGAGTTACCATTGATTTTGCTGGCACATCGTTCCTCCACACAAGGAACAACCAAGAAGTCACCTTTCTTGCTCATGTATGGCAGACAACCACGACTTCCAATGCATAATAAGACCTGGCCACAACAACAGAAGTGGACGACAACAAGGTTAAGAAAAGAGAGGAGAGAGGCAATAAGGAACGTGGAAAAGAAACAAATATCAGACACAAAGAAGGCAGAACAACAGAGGAGAACGTGGAAACCCTTTGCAGTGGGGGACCTAGTAAAGTGTAGAGAACGAAAAAGTAACATAGCAGGGGGAGCAGGGTCGGGGAAGCTGACCCCAAAATGGGAAGGACCGTATGTTATCACGGAGAGACGCGGCTCGGTCTACACGATCCAGAGAGAAGACAAGCAGAAGCGCGTAAATGCTAGTCAACTACAGAGATGGTTTCAAGATCATCATGGGTGTGAATCACGAAAAGCACCAAAGAACACAGCGGTACGGAGATCAGAAAGACTACGACAGCAACTTGTTAAAAGGGGGGACGAGTGTGGTGCGTGCTACTTATATTGATATAAGTAGTATATAACGTGAGTCAAAAGAACGTAATGTCTGGCAGCAGAAGACGGAGAAGATCAAGAAAAGAAGAGCGAGAAAACAATGGAATTTGTTAGAAACTGCATGAGCAATGAAATGCGAGACAATGGATTGATGTTTGCAACAGCAACAGCCCGGTTTGATATGATAGAATGATATTTTGCAAATTAACGATTTACTATATGGTTTTTCTATTTTACCAAGTAATTCTGTAATTTGTCCTAAGTACAATTTGGCTGTCCTCACCCGTGTTCTTCCTCAGTACAGTAGTAGTGAAGCAAATCTAGATGAAGTGAAACAATATTTTGTATTTTCTTTTTTTCGTATTGGAACATAGACAACTGATATTGAAATATTATTGAATCATAAACGTGTTACTTGATTTTCAGATAAAAAAAGTATTTGTATAGTACATTTACTACTTTCTTAGCGGTCGTCCAGATTTTTAACCTTCTTATCCGTTTTTAAGAGGTTATTAATTAATTAATAAGAACTTTCGTCTAAATTCGATCGAATAGTTTCACAGTATTTGGGTGCCGAGTTAATATGAGACATTAAAGAGGAAGAATGTATTTGTAAAACCTCAGCGAATGAATTTCGAAGTAAATCCAACGTTTCGCCTGGCAATCTGGTCCAAACTTTTTCAAGGAAATATAATCAAACGTTACAATTATCGAATATAAATAGATACATGGTTCTCTGGTTCACTGTACTGAAAAGACCATCCAATCAACGTTAACAATGTTTAAAGTATGTATCTACAATAGTGTGTAAGAGACGTGTGGTGTGAAAACGAAAAATGTTAAGATAACAGATTGTGTGTAAGTGAGAAGAAATTTAATTCACTATATATTGTCTTCGGCCAGTGAATATTAAGAAAACATATAATTTTTTATATATGATATGAATCAAAAATGTCACATCATTCATTAAGTGAAGATAAATAAACAAGATAAAAGAATGAATTCAAAGAGGAAGAATGCATTTGTAATTGAAAGTTTGTGTTATTGTTAAATTTCCAGTCAACTGTTTAACATATTCAGATAAGATAACTGATAGAATGGAATAAGGAGTTCAGGTTTACTTATTAATTATTAGTTACCATGAGGCAGCTAGTTGTATTCCATCTCTCCTATTAATACTGTTTGGATTAGCCCATATATGTAGGGCTTCAGCTGTTAGTCTTTCTTTGTAAGAATTAAAGCCTTTTTGAAGGATTCTTGTGCCATTGAAATCAATTGTATGACCCGATTCTATCGAGTGTAATGCTATCACTGATTTGTTCTCGAGTTTTTTTTTTTACCTCAACTGAAGATTTCGGAATGTGCTTCAACCATAGTTTGTGTTCTTTCACCCTCACATTCAGTTGGATTTACTTCGAATTTCATTCGCTGAGATTTTACAAATACATTCTCCCTCTTTAAGATTATTAATTAAGTTGAAAAGAATCAGTTCTCCATATGTATTAATCAATTACTGTGTTGGTATCAATGATTATAGTAGAATTTCTATCGTTCTTTATTCAGTAGTAATTCTAACTTAGTCTTAAAAACAAACTGTATTATTTCGTTGACCCTTACACATGTAAAGTGTGTGTGACTCATTAATAAGATGATGATACACATGATAGTATTTTGTCTTTAACTTGTTTTTATTTATCCATGTTCACCCCTATATTCTGATAGTATTTTCTTATACATTAGTTTAATCTACACTTTAAATAAAATTTCGCAACATCGAACATCTTGTGTAGTTTTCACGAGTATTTAAAAAACGATCATATTATTTATTTCATTGAATAATGAGAGGTGGTTGATTAGGTGCTCTTTTTTCTGTATTGTTTAACCTTAATGATTGTTTAAATTGTTTTCATAAATTATTCATGTGAGAAAATGTCAATGAAATAACCTTTTAGACTGATTCGAATGCTTCATCTGTAAAAAAACTAATGCTTATCAAAATGTAATGCCGGCAAAACATTCATAATTTGGTCTGCAATTATTTATCGCCTAAGAAGAATTTGTGCTATATTACTAGATGGTTACCGATATGTTTTTTTTTCAGTAATAGGAACTTCCTGCAAAGAATTTGAATGACTAATATCTGTAAACTTGCACTTGTATATAGAAGCTAAGTTATGTGGCTTAAGTTGTTTAAAAATACTTTTATGTAGTAACTGATTATCATGAATCAGTTCAAGTCGAATAATAATTAAGTTTATCAATTCATTAGACATCGTTTCCTTATTTTTACTAACTTTAGGAATGTTTTTATTATGTGTATTTTTTGTGTTTTTTTCTTTTTAGAACTAGTTATTTTCAGTTAAGTATTGATGATCATAATTTTTCGTTTTCATTTTTCCCTACTTTGAGTAAAGACTTTACTGCAACATAAGATGAATGGAGTTCGTTCAGTGATCATTGATAAAACAAGTGTGTATGACATATATAACGTATAGTACATTTTATTCTACGTTTTCTGTTTTGTTTTATATGGTTGACATTAGATCGCTATTCCACGGACATCAACTCAATCTACTGTACATGAGATCGTTCAAACTATTCAATCATACTCTGACCTAGAATCACTTCATCCATTTTCGTTCTATCCAGAATTGGAACCAACTACAAAAGCTGTTAGCAAAGTAGGTATTCCATATCTTGACTATCGATCTATGCTGGAAATGTTCATTTTCAGTTCATTACTTTGTCAAACCGAGCAGTCATATGCAACCTAGATTCTGACACATATGTCGATCGGTTTAATTTACTATACTTTACCAAAGGAGTAATAACCTAATCTACTTGATTCAGAGTCGTTTAATTTCTATGTATAAAGTATGTCGTTATTATCACCAGATATTAGCAGTCGAATTTTTTACGAGATTGTTTTTAATTTTGTTCTGAAGTTATTCGCTGAAATAGCTTTCTTTTACTTTTCGGAAGTTCCTTTCAGAACAAGTTACTTACAAAAGGTGGATTATCGTTCATTCTCATTGATTTTTGATGAATTAACAACATTAAGAATATCTTTCATCACATTTTCCTTTGTATGTACAACCGAGGATGCATATTCTCAAGATGTCTAGTGTACCATGTTTTCAACTGTCCTGTAATTCATTACCAGTTATATGTGAAAGCTGTACTCAGGTGAACAGTTTGTTGTTGACTGCTTGTATCAATTTTAAGGAGTCCTAATGGGTTCTCATAACCTTTACTGTACCTTTGGGTTAATTTAGAGTTAACGTGTATTTTTGTAATTTGTTTATATTAACAGATTATTCTGGCACAATAAGGATTCTGAGTTTCTGTAAGGCATGATCGAAAATTAAACGATAGTGAACACATCGTTCAGTTAAGCTAGATAGTTTTTTAACCACTGAATGTTTTTTTCACCAAGGTCATCCAGTCCACGTGGTTTACTCTGTGAAAAGAATTGACTGGAACTAATATAGATACTTCAAAAACATGATGGCTTAGCGGGCATATCCTTTTGGAAATATAGGAGCAGTTTGTTATAGCCCTAGAGATTATCATCGGTTTTGTAGTCATGAAACGTATTTATTAAACGAACAGAAGATGTATATTTCAGAATTATCTGTAGGTGTACATGCAAAAAACAGGATGTTTACATTCTCAGATTCTGATTGTAAATATTTTTTTGACATGAAAGCAACACTTGACTTAGTCTACTGACAGGTTTTGTGTCAATACCCCATCTAGGAAAGAGGTACCGAATAAGGGAAGTAAAATATTAATATCTTTGTACTCAAACACGCTTAATCACAGCATGCAGCAAACAGGCACCTAAGCTAACTGCGTCAAATAGTTTTTTTCAGAGCTGTCCATGTTATTCATTTCTACCCAATTTCATTGTGGATTTGTTATTAAAAAAGCTCTCCATTTGACTTTTCAAGAATCTGTATCATCTTGAAACCCTTATCCACTCAGAGTACTCACTCGGAAAAGTGCTCTCAGATCGGGACTCTGACAGGATACAATATTCTAATTGTGGGTCTTGAGTACACCATGCATTACTAAAAAGTCCCAACCAAGAACGACATCTACTATCCAATGCTCCTCAGTTTTTAATGATTTTTCAACTGAGGTGATTTACAAATGATGAATTTCTCAGACGTGTGTTTTTATTTTTGTTTCATTGCTTTTGGTAATATCTTTATCTTAAAATCTGCATTGTATCAGGATAAATCGATTGCTTATACAAACCAAAACAAAGTGCAAAATTATCAAGAGTCCGATGTATATCCAAACTCAAAAGTATTGGACTACAGCTCAAATTATCAAACTTTACATTATGATGAATTAGTTAGAAAATCACCGGAAAAGCATAATTTCATAATGGATTCAAATGTTAGGCATAGTTTACCAGTATCATCTTCATCCTCTTCGGATCGATTATTGACAAATCAACATCTACCACAAAAACATAAAAAGAAATTACAATTATTACATGAAGCTCAATTATTATTGGAAAAAGCACAACAGAGTAGAAATTGGGCACCGGTAGTCTCTCCACCTCCACCACCACCTGTGCAACCACTTATAACTGGAACTATAAATAGTCCTGAAGATAGTCATATACCTTCACCGAATTTATCTACGTGGTCTTCACAATTAAGTCCATCAAGATCAAGTTCACACGATCCGACTGATGTACTGAATCATCATCAACATAATCTATCCTATGAAAATCAAAAATCTCCTGTTGCACAATTTCATGAGGAACCAATCGTCGATCCGCCATTTAACAAATCTCCAAGATCTGACTCGACTAGGTTAGTATCTATGATTGGCTCTAGTCAAGATAGTTCTGGTCCTAAACAACGTATTGTATTAAAATTATCACGATCGAGTTGTGGCAGTCAGTTGTCTGTTTCATCTTCACAACCACTCGAAGATGAATCTATGGAGAGATCGGAAAGAAAAAAACGTAAAAAAGAACCAAAGAACGAACGTCGTAGTAAGAATTGGAGGGTAAATTTACCGTTTTGCATTTCATTATAAATTAAATTATATGTTTATTTCCCAGTAGTTTTTCTTTTTAATGTAGATTAATTTTGTAGTGGTGTTTTATGAAATATGCGAAACAAATTGAGGAATTTGATAGGCTGAAGTTTATGAAGTTGTTAATAAAAATGTTGGTGATAATAAGCATTTCTGGCAAAAACCACTACTTATTGTCATGTCAAATGATAATTTTCCATAATTTTCTTTATGAATATGTAAATACCACTAAATGGCCTTTATTAACATGATAAACTTGTTCGGAATAACTTTCAGGTATATATATATGAACTAGATCTATCTATCATTAGAGTTGAATGCCACTATTACATAAACGAAAAGAGGTAAACTGATTCCTATATGAACGAATTTCAGTTTTTGTAAAGTGGTAAAGTAAGTCAAAAATATGATTAATAGGGGGCTATCTATGTTACACGAAAGCTTATAACTTAATTAGTGTTTTCATTGCAGTTTCAGGTGAATAAGGTTCCGATAGACTGATAACACAAAATTGTGTAGTTTCTCTTCATAAGAAATACTCATGGGAATGATTTTCATTAACTCATTATAGTCACTAGATGAAAATGATATTCATAAGACTAGGACATTAAATTATCTGACTATGAGATATGATGAAAAAGTAAAATAGACTATTGTAAAAAGGGGACACTAACATATTATGACTACATATTGCATTCTGTCTATTTAACCATACGTGAAGTTGATTGTCGTCAAGTAGCCAATCAGTCCTCGCTATTGGTTATGAGACTTCATTTCCGATTATCAAGAATTCTTTCCAATAACTCGTGGCCTTAGTCCTTAACTTCGCAAAGTTAACATTTAGAATCTTTTGATTTCTCTATTTTAGGTTGGTTAGCTTCAAAAAAAATCAGACAACATTCAGTTTATAACTGAATAGTGGACAACTGCTCCTCGTTTTAACAATCTGTGTTACAAGTGTTCTATATTTTTCATCCACATCCTGACTATCTGTTTCGCAAGCCAGTATAGTAAAATACCTTTGAAAATATCTTACCAAGTGGGACACTTTAGTAGGCGATTCAATATCCATAGTAATATTACAGTGGTTATACACCTTCGTCTTTATAATTGGATTGCTTTCTGTTACTACTCTAAAATTTGTGAGATTTTCCAGATACCCAACAGATGTGATAGAACATTGATTTTTGTTTTGCGTTCAGTAAGTACTTGTAATCGATCCAGGTTTATTTGCCCACTGAAATGTTTTCTTACTGTTTTATTAATGAAGATTTGTTGATTTGATGAAACATGTTTTTTTGTTGTAGTAGTAGTAGTAGTAATGACCTTATAAGTTTACCAAACTCAGAGATTGTTTAAGATATTTCTATTAAACTTGTCTTTGCTAACAAATAATATCAAATGTAATACATATTTGTATTTATAAAATTTTTACCACTAGAGCTCGCCTACAAAACATTCGTCTGAATGTCATAATACTACTGTAGTGACTACTACTAATACCACTAATGTTTATACTTTGAATAAAGATATAATTAATACTGTCACAAACAAAAGTAAACAAGCTGTACAAATATTTTCTTCGGAAACATCACCTTCATTATGTAAAAGAAATTCACCAAGAAAGTATTCATCTCATGATACATATTCAAATGATTCAAGTCCTGAATTAACATATAATTCACGTAAATCTACACTAAGTAAAAAAATTTTCTTTGATAACAATAATAATAATAATAATAATCAGAAAACCTTTGTAGATGCTGATGAACACGATGATCTATTTAAATATAATCGAAGAAATTCAAATCAACAATATTATCAACAATATTCATCGGTTAATAATATACAACAGGATACAAATGATACATTTACATCCGATATTGATTCATTATGTGATTCTGTTAGTCGATCAACTCATTCACATTTACTTCTTATTGATCAAAAAGATGATCATGATGAATCCGGAAGAGAAACTCCAGTAGTTGATTATTTTGGTGATGAATTTCAACAACAACAACATAATCAGAAAGATCAACAACATTCATCTGCATTTTCATCGTCAACAATTGGATCTTCATTGATGGTAAGAAATGTCAAATATCCTGATGAAATATCTATTGTTAATAATCGAAATCGTATCCAATCAATTATTAACAATGATACTAATAGTAATAATAGATTAGATGATTTAGGAGAACCATTAACACATTCAGTTATTGTTAATACAAGTAGAGAATTATATGAAGAATTTAATGATTTTACATCATTATCAAAAAATTGTTCAACTTATGAACATTCTAATGATCAAGATGATATAAAACGAAATAAATTCAATATAGATGAAAAAATCAAATTAAAACAATTAAATAATAAATTAAAGCATAAAAATTCTTTTAATTCATCAATTAAACTATTATCTCATACAGGCGTAAGTTATTAAAATTCTTTCTATCAATAAACTTATCTAGCTTTGTTGTTTACTTTATAAAATATATGTAATTCATTGATTTGTCAGTAGAACTATCTATAGAGTTATATTACACATAACACAATATATCATCGTTTCTATGAACTCTTATAATTGTAATGAAAAACAAAAGCATAGTTTTCAGATAATGCATATGAAAAGAAATAATATGTCGTTAAATCTACTGTTATGTAAAATTTTCTTCATTTGTTTTCTTAAACAATTAGTTTTTAAACAATGGAGATCATGAGTCAATTGTAGCTAGACCACCATGGAAAACCTGGAAGCACTGGACGGCCGTTTCGTCCTATTGTGGGACTCCTCAGCAGTGCGCATCCACGACCCCGCCTCGCGGGATTTACTTTATCGTTATTTACAATTTCCCATTAGGTTCAATTTGGAAATTAGTGATATCAATATCTTCAATTCTTTTGTATCCAGTGATTCTAAACTCTGTTTTACTTTTCACTTGATTAGAAGGTATTACCTGTTTGATATATTTTACAGTTAAGGATATTCACAATACTTAGTTTTTGTAAGTCAACGTCTTTATGATAAAGCTTACGGATGAAATATTCAATTGCTTGATAAATTATTTTGATGTGCCGTTGAATGACTTTAAGACTGGTATGTTTTAATACTTGGTCCGCTAGGGTGCTTGGTGCCTGTGTGGTTACGCCACAGGATTGAGCTGTACTATTCAGATTGTAGCGTTAAAGCCTATACGGTGTCTGTTTTTCCTGTGAAGCGAGATTGAGTTGTACTTCTCGGTTTATAAAATTTAAGCCTGGGCGGTGTCTGGCTCTCCTGTTGAATGGGATTGAGCTGTACTGTTTGGGTTGTCACGTGAAAGTCTGGGTTTATTTATATTTATTTATTTGGACACATGAATATTGGTACAAGAGAGCGCCAATATATATGCGCCACACAGAACAATGAATATTCGAAGAGGAATACAAAGAAAGAAAAAAAAGAAGCTAAGGAGCACAAAAAAAGAGAGAACAATAACGAAGAGATTGGTGTAAGGTAATGTGCTAGTAAACAGGGAACGCAAAGGTATAATCGGAAGAAATCTTTCAGGTAAGGGAGACACAACCACTTTTTATGAGGAAAGTAAAAGAAGGTTACAGGATCGCCACTGGCTTCTATTCTGAGCCATATCTGATAACGTCTCTAGCTACTGTGTAGCATCATCTCTCGGACCCCAACCAGGGAGTCGTGAAGGATCAACAGAAGCCAGTCCTTTGCAGCTTTCTTTCATACCACGACACCATGTCATGCACTGACCACCTCTCCGCTTCTTCCAACCAGTCCCAGAGTCGGCAAATAATGCACGACGTGGAATTTTATGGGACGACATTCGTAGAACATGTCCAAGCCACCGAAGTCGGTGTTTCAAGATGGTGACACCAATTGAATTATCATATCTGTGCCCGAACACACAATGCCGAACCTCTGCATTACTGACATGGTGTTGCCACTGAATGTCAGCAATCCTTCGGAGACAGCGATGATCGAACACAGAGAGTCGTCTAACGTCCTCAACTCGGAGAGGCCAGGTTTCACAAGCATAGAGCAGAACTGCTCTCACCGACGAGTTGTAGATCCGACCTTTTACAGCCAGACTAACATCACGAAGGCGCCAAAGATGGCCCAGATTGGCATAAGCCGCTCTGGCTTTCACTATACGTGCATTGATCTCATCACTCACACCCCCACCAGCACTTATGCAGCTACCCAGACACACGAACTTCTCGACTACTTCTATCTGCTCACCATCCAGAGTGAGTACAGGATTAGCATCTTGCCAGTCTTGTAGAACTACTTTGCACTTCGAAGGTGCAAAGCATATACCATACCTACGGACACTCATTGCCAACTGATTAAATGCGGATTGCATGCCTTGGGCATTATCGCACAGTAAGACAATATCGTCCGCATACTCAAGGTCGAGAAGTCTTTCTCCAGGCAACAGATCCACACCACCATTACTTACATTCATCAGAGCTGTTTCCAGAATGTCATCGATGGCAAAGTTGAAGAGGAATGGTGAGATTTGGCAACCCTGCCTAACCCCACTACTCGAATGGAACAATGGAGAGAGGTGGTTGTATGCCCTCACTCTGCCTGAGGTGTTTGTATATAGGGCTTTTAGGATGTTAATAAACTTCTCAGGCACACCCTTCTTCAATAGACAATCCCAGAGAACAGTCCTGTCCAACGAATCGAAGGCAGCCCTGATGTCCAGAAACACTACGATTGTTGGCCTTTGATAAGTGTGGCGATGTTCTAACATTTGGCGGAGGGTGAAGATATGATCAATACATCCTCGACCAGAACGAAACCCAGCCTGCTCCTCGCGAGTCAATCTTTCTCGGGTTTTGAACAACCTACGAAGTATGACGGAAGCCAATGGCTTGGACGCAATCGGAAGTAGACTTATCCCCCGATAGTTGTTACAGGAACGACATGAACCTTTTTTAAAGATAGGGACAACTATCGACTCATTCCATGACGTTGATACACTCTCTAGCTGCCAAACCTTTGTAAACAACGTCGTCAATTCCTTAGTCAAAAAGTCACCACCATCTTTAAAAAGAGCCGGAGGTAAGTCATCTGGGCCAGGTGATTTGTAACGTTTCAAGAGTTGGAGTTCCTTGCAGACTTCCGCCTCATTTGGTGGATCTGTGGTCACCGGCCATGGAGGCCAGGACAGTCCGACCGATGTTGTCGGAGCAGCAGACCAGTTGAACTGCCCTTCGAAAAATTCTGCCCATCGTCCAAGACGTCGTTGGATGTTGGTGGTTAGCATCCCGTCATCCTCACAGATTGTTTCGCTCACACCAGACTTCTTGCTGCTAGTGGCTCGGATGAGTTGGAAGAGCTTCCGGCAGTTACCAGATGCAGCTACTGCTTTCAGTTCATTAGCACGCTCCAACCACCAGGCTTCTCGGTCCTTGCGCAAGCTTTGCCCGGTTTCATTACGTAACATCCTTCGTTTGTGGTCAAACTCACGGTCACCCGGAGTAGACTGACGGGCTTCAATGAGTTGTAAGGAGCCTGAAGAAACCCAGTGCTTATAAGCGGGACGTTTCGCGAACCCACAACTGACTGTACCCGCCATTTTCATGACGTCATGCAATTGCAACCAATGCTCATCTATACTTTTCGGTGGAGTGGTAGCTAGCCTAGCAGCTAGCTCTGTTCGATACTTACTAGCAACATAAGTTGCAACCAGCTTGCTGACATCAATCCTTTGGTGACGATCATTTCGTTGTCCACTGAAAAGTAAGGCAAGATTGGCGCAGACCAAGGCATGGTCAGAGTCCAGATAGGTACTCCGAAAGGAGCGGCTGTCTTGTACACAACCATGCCAGCGGTAGCTGATCGCGATCTGATCAATCTGAGTCCAGGCTTGGGATGCAGAAGGAGGACGCCAGGTGGCACATCGGCGATGACTATGCCGAAAGTTAGAGCTAGCCAGAAACAGGTTGTGGTCTGTGCACAGTTGCAGTAGACGGTCCCCGTTACCTGACCTGCGACCAACAAGTCCCCATCGGCCACCTAAACGACTCTCTTCTGTGCCTAGACGCCCGACCTGAGCATTCAAGTCTCCGGCTAGTACTACAATATCTGTGGAACGCACTTTCTGGAGAAGAACAGAGAACTGGTGGTAAAACTTATCCTTGATTGCATCCGGGCTGCAATCTGTCGGAGCATAGGCGGAGATGACGAAAAGACATCGTTTCTCACGCCGATTTCTTCTCACTTTGATGGAACTTTCTAATCTAACAGCACATAACCGACTGTTAATGGGGATCCAATCGACTAGTGCTGCCTCAGCTCTAGCGCTTAGTGCGACACCAACGCCAGCAAGACCAGACGAAGATGCCACAGGGTCCCCGGATAAGCGCACGTAAAACAAGCTTTTTGAAGTGACAGATGTAGAGCGAATTTGTAGTACTTCGCTAGAGTCTTGAATACGGGTCTCGGATAGACAACAAACATCAATATTAAGACTTTCCAAAGACATAGCCAGCCCTATCTGTTGACCAACCTGCATAAGTGTGCGAACGTTGAAGGCAGCCAGTTTGAATGGCGCACGTGGTTTCAGAAACACTGCTTCAGTATTCATATTCGATGGTAACATACAACTTTCAACCGGACAGTGACTCGAGAACGTTTACATACAGTCGGATTTCCACCAAAGACGAGCCGCTGTATAAGTATAAAAGAGGGTGAATAATGTGGGAAATAATAATAATAATAATAATAATAATAATAATGACAATAATAGTAATAATAATAGTATTAATAATGACAATAATAGTAATGATAATTATTTGAATCGATTGATTGTTTTTCGGAGCGAGAAAAGTAGTTGCCATAGACATAGAGTTCATCGTGGTGGTGTCTGGTTCTCCTGAAAACCAATGTAAAATTACCCTGGCCCACAAGGGTATATTATATAACTATGAATAACTATGTTTTAATACTGTGCATCTAAACTAAGGACATTTTTTGTACTATCCATGAGGTTATAAACGAAATTTGAGTAGTTGCCCCAAAGTATTTTTCTCAAAGGTAAATAAGCGTGTTCAATTACATGGAATGATTGACATATTCAAACTACTTCATGATTTTCGTTCACTTAACCGCTTCTCTGAATTTCAAATTTTTATTCCTGTAGTTATTTATGGTTTTCATTGATCACGAATTTAAGGGGTTTTTTAAAATTAGATTCAACAGGTGTATGATATTATACATGTAACATTTTCTACTTGTATACGAATTTGCCCTATTAAGTGATTCAAACATTTTAGGGTTTACGGACCAGTTCACATTTAATGTTTTGTTTTGGGAGTTGTAAATACTGACTTTCTGTTTATTGCGCGCAAACAAGAACGGTAATGAAATTTTTGTTCTTGTTGCTTTCTCTATATACCAACTGAGATAATAGACCTTGGGTTTCGAAATTACTTTACACCTTTTATTCTGGGGATTTATTCATTCTTCTCAAACCATTTTATCTTTACCTAATGTGTTTTTACCATCACTGACATACTACTACTATGATACTTGTCTTGATAAGTTTACCTCACTGGGTTAATATGGTATGTGCTAGGTCCCACATTATTTATGACCGACTGACAGTAGTCTTGTGACTAACGTATTTTTCATTTAAAAATGATTAATTGCTTATGTAAACACTCTCATATACTGCCAAATACAGTATTTTAATTACTTATTAAAGATTTATAAGTGAGACTGTTTGTTTATTTTTAATTTAGTTCATTCAACATTTTTAAACAATGGTTATTAAAATGTTAACCAATAGGTTACTTAACAAGTTACGCATGTAACAACTCAATTACCTGTTTATTTTCCTTTTTATTTAGAAGAACCAACTAGATCTTGAAAGATCCACTGACTCAACAATCCGGGTACCACCACCAGTAAAACAGTTTAAAATATCAGATCATTCCAATTCGATGAATAATAATTGTCAGTCAAAATCACTTAGTAATCTCGAAAGTCATTCAGCAGACGTGTATAATAGAAAAAAGCCAGTTGCGAGAAAATTCAAATCTCATGATAGCTCGTCTTCTTCTTCTTCTTCTTCTTCTTCATCATCATCATCCTCTTCGTCTTCAACAACATCGTCATCGTCAAAACGATTGGATATACCTGCAGTTGATCATACTACATTGTATGAAAATTCACCAACCATTCATAAAACAAAAGACAATGAGTTGAAAAATATGGGTAAATTTAAAACAATTGAGAAGTCATCAGAACAACTGCAACACTCATCAAATAAAATGCTACCCAGCAATCATGAAACATGTAAGTTGTTTTAATTATTTTCTTTGTTTCCTCTGATTAACTTTAATGAATACACATATGAAGTCACTGAAGAGTTTCAGTTTTTTTAATCCGATATATTTGTTAGTAGTAAGGAATTCTGAGCACAAAATATGCAGTACTTCAACAAGTGGCCTATGTTTTATCTATATGTTAAATATTCATTAATAGGAAGTATAAGAAGGTAGTTCAGCCATGATTCACTGTTGTTTCTTTATTTCTGAACATTTTCAAGCAGTTTTAGCCCTTTTCTATCCTTTTTTCAGTAATATATTGCATACTTTATATAAGTTGCATCTCATTTAATAATACACGCAAGAAATTTACTAGAAGTGACTTTTTTCGCTTCAATTTTGAACCAATTAGCTTCACTGTAGGTTGTAAGCTTTTTATGAAACCGTATGTGAGTACACATAGTTAACATGTATAGTTAGTCAGTAACTGACCGACGGACTGACTGAGTCAGTTAAGATAAATCCGAAACAGTAAAATTTGTTTTAAAGTATCAGGTGATCCAGATTGTTAAGGTAATAATACCTAATATAAATTTTCATCAATATGACGTCATAGTGCAAGGTGTTTTATATCTATCATCTCAATACAGTTGAAAAAGTTGGCTATTTGATGAATTAGCTAGTATAGCTCAAGTTTTGACATTAATTTTCATGTAAACCGTCTGAATGATAGTATTAAGAAATTCCGGAATATTCAAGACAGTTCCGCACGTCTACTATTTTTACATTTTATATGGCTTATACTTTTTAAAGTATCTATAAATAGTAATTGTGAATGTTAAGTTAGTTATAATCAAAGTAGAGAGTGGTGCAAATGTGTGTTGACCCAAGTTTTCGTATCTTATTAACACGACAAGATGAATAACGAAAACGATCAAAGTAGTGTTGTAGCAATAAGATGAGAACTAACCATTGGGAATATGGTTGGTAAATTTTTGTGAATCGTGAGTTGGCTACTCTAAATTCTACCGATTGACTAGCTTCAGATATCCCAGTTCGACCCCAATACTGTTCCCAATCTCCAATATATCAGAACACGAACCGTAGATGAAAAATCGTTTATGGGGTCAGGAGCAGCAGAATAATGATTTACAAACAAATGCATATTTATACAGTTAGGATTACTATAAATATTGACCAACAGAAAGATGACACGTTAATTAATATTGACCAATAGGAAAATGACACGCGAAATAAATATTGATCAGTAGGGAAACGACCAATAGGGAAATGACACCATTTAACGTTCAAGGGTAGCGTTAGACTTAACCGGATAATTGTTTCTGGGATATTCTTTTGAGTATCCCAACATAAATACAAAATGCAAAAGCATATATGAACGAATTCTGAGACTTACACTATCATAACATAATATTATGGATATTCTGTTATGATTTTTAGTGTGGAGGGAAATGGCTTATCCTAGTAGTGTTTACTGATTAGATTAATTGCCATAATGATGGAACAGATGGAAAAATAGGTCGTGTGCGCTGGATTTAAATTAAATTATACATACTAGAAAAGAACCAATCACATCTTGCATTTTTATTTAAAATAGGTCTCAATCTGCACATATATATCAATGCTAGTGTACTCAATTCTGAATGAACGACTGTTCACTAGCACCTAATTGATTTTCAGCCTTTTTTTATACTTTTTACGGTTGATAGGAAAGAGAAGTAAGTCATTTTGAATCACTTCATCACTTGTTTCAATGTATCATAGTGTTTATACCATTAATTCAGGGGTCCTTCAGATTTCTTATGAAGGGTATCGTTGGGACTTTTCATTTTGTGTCCACTAATTGCGCCATCAGTTTGTATGAATAATACTGGTGCCCGCAACACAGCTGTGATGTATTCTAATATTGATTGGGTCAGCCGGATTTTTTTGTTTCCAACCAACTCAACTAAATCATGGCAAAAGTCACGCAATGCACATATTTCGGTTTCTACATTGCATATGGTTGACTAAGTCTACGAGAGAAGATTTCTCAAAGTTGAACCTTTCTCACCTCTTCGCCCATTTCTAACATAAAGTAAGAGATTCACGCTTTAGATCAGTCAACGATGTTTGCCCGCCTATAATTCCTAACTGGCACAAGACCATGATGTAAGCTTTCTTGTCAATAGCATTCAGGAAATCTACGCGACAAAAGGGTGTACCCTAATGTTAATTCTCCTTGTGATATTTACAACATTGAAACTTGATCTTCAGAATTCGATCCGATACTGGGATGTAGGTAGTCTGATATTAATTAACAACCACTTTGTGTAATTAAATTGCACTTCCTTAACAGTTACTAATACAAAGGTGCTGTTTGATACCGTTTATTTTTGTGTGACTGACCTGTTTTAATGGTAGAAATTATATTTGGATCACTTAGACTCCCGAGTTTTTATAAAAATAATGATCGTGTGAAATTTCAATTTTTTTTCATAAGTTTATTTTTTTTCTGTCACTATCCAGGGAAATCAATAACAGTCTCCGGTACACATAAATATGCTTCGAAAGCTTTATATCCCACTGAGAATAATAAGCAAAATAATAATGAACAATTGATAATGAGAGAACAGTCAAATCGGGGACCTTCCAATAGTTCCACTTCATTCGACAAAGTCAGTAACGACAGCAATAACATCGCAACATCAACTGTGTCGCGAATCGATAATGACTTTATTAATACAGAGTTATCATCTTTATCTTCGGATTCACCATGTGATTCTTCATCATCCTCTGTCACTCCACCAATGTTATCTAATGAAACTTTTCATTTGATAAGTGTGAACGAAGTTGAATTCGATGAATCTCAAAGTGGTACTGTAAACAACTCAAAATCAAGTGTAAACAAACCTATTGCGACTCCGGCTTCTCTACTCTCGGTACGTGGATCAGAATCTGTTGTCGTACAGGAGAAAAACGATACAAATCCCACCAGTAAAGTAATCTCATCTAATAATAATAATAGCAAGTTGGAAAGATGTATGAATCTTGATCATCAGGTTACTTCTGCAAACGTTGACAACGATAATTCAGAATCCACAAAACCCAGTGATTATAATTTGGAAGTTTTATTCGATAGGTTAATTCGTTTACGTGAACCACATCTAGCTATTCGTATGAGTGAAATCCTGTTATACTACATATCTGCAAAACCACTTGATTCTTCAGAACGTAAAAATAAGTCAAATCTCAGTGCATCCAATAATAATAACAGTAGTAATTTTGGCAAGGGTGTAAAAGTGATACACAATAACCCTAAATTGATTGCATTTGACCTGCGTAAGTTACCTAATTCATGCATTGAAAAATTAACAGCTCTTATTAAGGAAGATGAAGATATATTTCGAAAACACAATTTCACAACTCTGTCTAAATCAAATGATATAAAAAATAGTATATGTAATGCTAGAAGACCTGTTCTCACTGAAGACGTTGGCCGTAATGATAACTTTCATAATCCCGATAGGCGTTATGAGTGCAGTGATCAAAGAGATTCCTCAGGATCTGGAGATCCATAGTGATTTTACTTTACGTTTGTGATAACCCTTCATCTCTTCGATATTAAGACGATTGCACATGTAAAGTGATGCCAAGCTTTTCTGCTTTGTACATTATATTTCCGTATTTACCTAATTTCTACGTCTTTCTTGTCTTATCATTATTTTGTGCACAGATACGTGTTTTAGTTTATTTGCTTTTCTGAAAACAAAACTGTACATATACTCGAAGTTTTCAAAGTTTCTTGTACTTCGCTGTTCGTCTAACTTGCTCAAAATACATGTCATTAAATGATATGCATTCGTAGGATTTTGTGTTGTATTTCTGGTTTTCTGCAATTTTTCACACTTAATGCCTTACAGTAAAATCTTAGTAGACACTTCAGTGCACAAAGCTCTTTTCTATCATACAAATTTCATTTCGAGAGTTACCTTGTTCTCATTTTTACCCAGTATGTGCTCCGGAATATCATCCACTGTATGTTTAGAGTAAGTAGCTGACGTGCTCACTAAAACATACTGTCTCAATAACGTTGTTTAGGTTGAGTAGATTGAGTTACGTCATTGATGTGCGGAAATCTGTCATACAACTAGACAGGAAGTTGGATAAAGCCTTGTTTGATGGAACTTTTGTATCCATTTTCTTGTAGTTTAGTTAGAAATGAAGTCTGTCCTTGCTTCTTGTAATTCTAGTTCCTGTTATGCATTAGCGTGGACTCGGGGAATTTCTCAAACCAAGGGAAATGTAAATTTTTTATAGATTAGGACTTTTGGGTAGTAGACACGCCCGACCCAACGCGGGACTTAATCTGAGGTCGACTGCCTCAGTTCTGTGTTACCTCCAGGCTAATGTATTGAATTATGGTCTGCATTTCTACTTGTCAGTCTATAGGGTAACGTCATCCATCTTTCAAATTTGCTATCGTATGTTGAAGATCGAATCCTAGTTTAGGAGTTCGAGTGTTTTTCCTGTAAATATTTTACTACTCTGGCAATTGTAGGGTTTTCTTGAGCTTTCCTGAAGAAGTAGTTAATTTCTAGATCTTTCCTGTTTGGGAGACTTCATATTTTTCTACAGAAAGTTGATCAGGTCGATTTATAAAACCTATTATGTATGCATCGACTGGTACCGGGCTCGATGGATAGCCAATACTGGGCTTCGAAATTCGATACTGTGTCTTATTCTTCAATCACTAAGACCGAAGTGACCAGCTGTTTTGATATAGTCAAGTATGTCACTATATCTTCTCTGTTCTAGGTCCACTGGCATTGCCTGAGATTTTTAACTTCACGAAGCGTATTCCAGACAAACACATCCTTAGAAGGAGAAAAAGTCCAGTTTACTAACAAACAACTTTGGTCTTGGCCATGATATATATTTTGGGCACACATTCTGCTAACTCCTTAAGTACAAGTGCAGTGAGAGAACACTCAGGTGGCAAGACCAATTTACTACTTAGTACAAGATTACTTCATCGTAAATTATGAAAACCATACATTAAATACTCCTTTTGCACATCTCTAAGTTGTCTCTTACAAACTTCATCGTCCCATCATTCATGTTTTTGTTAAAACCACTGGTTACAATCTTGTTTTACCCAATTTGACCTTCACAACCTTCTTCCAGGCGCTCCACTTCTAATGGGTGTTTAATACTACTTATGTCTGTCGACACAAATAACATAAAACACACTACGACTCGTGCAAACCATAATGATCAGTCTGTTTTGTTTTCTGCATGAATATGCTGCAATTGACCCGCTTCCAGTAAAGTTTTACTCACCATCTGGAGGCGTGAGTGTTGGTTACCAAATTAAGCGGATGGGAAGCAAATTTTCGGCACTATAACCCGGTTGGTGAGTACGGAAAATCCTTCTAGAGGGGATTGAAAACACTGATTCTAAACCAGTGGTGAACATGAACTCCGAAATTCTTGGGAAACAAATGGTGTCCGTCATCAGTTGTCACGTAAATGCATCTCTTAATGCTGATTTTCTGCCTCGTGGATGTGACCACAAGATCAAAAACTCGAGCCACACATAAACTAAATGATGACCATAATTAGAAAAAATATTCACGATTTAATTCTCATTCTAGCAAATCATACTAAAAAACTAGTTGTTAATAATTATCTTCATTTGATGTAGGGTCACTTACCTATCCCTTTATTCACGTTTTGCATATTCCTTTTGTTGTTGCCTCTTATGACAGTCCGCCAGTTGTGTAAATCTTGTCCTATCTAAGCAATCTGAAGTCACTGACTGGCAGTAAGTTGGACGCTACCACTGTCGAACAATTCTGAACCAGCCCATCTGAAACCGTGTATGGCGCTAAAACAAGCTCCCTTCACTTTTCTCACATTAATGTAGATAGGATGAGAGGTAGGGTTAATTACGCCTTTAAAACATCTTGTAGCAGTATGTAGATTCTCGAAATAAATCTCTAAGTCTCCAACATTGATGCTGAACTCTTTAGTTTTGCTGGGTACAAGCTAACTGAAGGAGCTCGGTGATTACGACGTAATACGCATCACTTTTAATCACTATCCGGGTTGGACCAAACGCCTTTCAACACATCTACAAACATGCAAATATACCTTTGGACTCATTAGCTGACACCCTTGAGTTCTAAGTGTAATACAGATAAGAGCGTCGTCAAACCTTTACTACCTGTAGCATCTTCATTTTTAACATGTAATAATAATACGTCTGTTGTTTATCTGAGACTCACGCTAAAAACTACCATGAAGTACTGCAATTTATCTTTATAACTGTCGCCTCCGAAAGCCTATTTTGCATGTGTTTATCCGGGGATACGTTGGAATCTTCTGGTTTTTCCTGACCTTGCCAAACTAAGCGGTAGTGTTGAGGCTGTAGCGGTAAATAAATCCCCAAAATAAATAGCCCTGTAAGTTTTCGACATTGGATGCCGACCATATGTTTTAGTGGACTCATCTAGCTGAAGGCGCTCGGTCATGCATCCGCACCAGATCACGTGTGGCAACGCCGTTCTCAACTACTACTGCGATCGCTAGCCAGATTAGATCAGAGAATTCCGATGTATTGGTCATCGCCAAATATACTCTTCCGATCTCCTCGACTCTGTCTTTGGATTTCTCTCGGTGGGTACAAATTATATTAGGTGTTGCTGGTAAAAGCGTTGTCAAACACTGAATAGTTGCGTCATCCTCAAGGCAGCGTTTGTCGGTTGAAGTTTCATTAATTATCGATTACTTGCTGCTGTGTTAGTGTATTCCACCAAAGTGAGTAGAACATATATCTTCTTATCATCCCGAACTACTCTTCGATAGATTGCAGCCTGGATGCAACGAACGATGATTTAATGTTGGTATTGTTTTGATCATATTCATATCAGTAAAAAAGTCAAAAGGTCACTGGAAGACGTGAAAAACAGGAGGAAAACAAGCTGATATAGTTTCAGATCACCACCTAGTCCTTGCCAAGGTGAAACTGAAGCTATAAATGCACCAGATTAATAAAAACCAGCATCACAAAAGTTTAGTAGAGCTTTCCTCACAGATACTGACAAACTCAAAGAATTCAATATAACTCTCAACAATAGATTCCGAGCCTTACAAGATCTACTGGAAGAAGAGAAATTTACCGTGGAGAACGATTAGAAACGGATCAAAGAAGCACTCACTTGACGTGTGATAAGCTTCTGAGCAGCAGGAAGCATCATCATAAGGAATGGATCTCTTGGCTGCGGCAGTCTTGCAGTTACTCGTAGTTCTAAGGTCACTGATTATTATGACTTCTAGATCTTTGTTGTTCATTACCTCAATTACCACAACTCCACATATTACGTGATGATATGGCCCGTCTAAATTATTTATTTGAAACACCAAACTCCTGTTAGCATCAACTCCTAACAACCAATCATACATCCATTTAACCAGTGGATTTGGGTCATCCTGTATTGGTAACATATCTGACATAATATGTATGAGTCTTTTCAATTCTTTATGTCGTTTGCGAAGAGTAGAAAAAATGACTTTGCTGTAACTGGCAAGTCTTTGGCATGGAGCAAAACTGAAGAGGACCAAAGACGTTGCCCTCGAAAACTCTTCTGTTCACAGATTCTCAAGTTGATAAGGCATCGTTCTCTCGTACTGGTTGTCTTTTATAACTGAGAAAGTTATTTATCCTCTTTACGATTTCACAACGGGTTCTAATCTATTCCAGATTTAATTCAAGACCCATATGAGAAACTGTCAAGGACTTTACCTGAATCGTTGAAAACTAAATCTACCGGAATATTACTATATTTCACTGAAGCTCAGTATTCTCCTGAACAAGCAGGTATGTCAAGCATGAAAAGCCTTTCCTACAATCGTAGTGTTTCCCGGTTAAAAATCACCCCTTTCTATACAGTTCAGAATTGGCAGCGAGTAACCCTTTCCAGAATTTTGACAACCACACTCGTTAGATTGATGGATCGATAGTAACTAGCTGAGTGTCTGTTCCACAACATATACACCTGACTGGTAGGTGTGTACTTCCGGTCTCTTGACAGTCTCAATGACACACCCAACCTTGTAGTAGGGGGCTCAGCAATTACATCCGTTAGAGATTTCACAATACTAGGATGAGCATCGTCAGGACCATTGGAATTTAGTGGTTTAGCAAGTTGCAGTAATCGAAGTTGAGTTTCTTTCTCAGTGACCGCAGGATCTATAGCCGCGCTGCCATGACCAGCAATAACTGTTGGTTGATCCTCGTCGCCATTAGAAAGCACTTTACTAAAGTATACTGTTAGTGCTTCGCCATTTGTGACATCATTCCTTGCCGATATCAACAGATGTGCAAGTAAGAGAAGTGATGACATTACATTACTTTTCTGAGGTTGCCTATTTTTAATAGAGTGCAAACATTTCTGACCTATTTTCACATTTTCTAACCGGTTTTTTCTTCACACAAGGCCCCGACCTTAGTGATCACGGCTATGCATGAGTTTGAAGTTTCGCACTGAGTGGTTCTGTACTGTCCAGAGTGTATAGTTGAATATGTTAGTGGAACATGCAGATTTACAGTTGTCAGGAGCCTACTACCTAAAGATTTCCGATACTACGGTGTCTATCTCAGTTGGAATAATGTCAGGTGCAATACACTCTCCTTACTACAGGTATCCACTACTCCATAGACCAATGAGCTCTAAAATAAAGCCACCAACCAGTCAGATCGCGCTACTATGAATGACATCGAATATAGATGTATGGCATTCAAATTTAAGTTCACAGCTAGTGACTTCGCAAATTCCACTATTATGGGATTTTCAAACAATGGGGTGGATATTTATATTATTACTTGTGTATAAATGGACCTCATCTTCTTTCCTGCATCTGTTCCTATCGATACGTGAACAGCTGATCATCAATAATTCAAGAGTAACATCGAAGTCATGAACTCATCAATTTCTGATTCGCCCACTAATTCTCCTAGTTTACAGAACTTAATAATCAGACTACAAGCATTTGTATATCAAACTCGTGATGAGGACCTCCAATCCATACAGGTCCTGGTAGCATTTACTTCGTAGAATGACTGCTGTAATACTCGTGTTTCTCATCATTTCGTCAACGGGTTTCGAGTTCATCTCGTGCCGTCTTTCTTTTGATTACATCTTCTAGATTCATGTCAGTTCTTACTCTTCATTAGTGTAAATATTTTGTTGTCTCTTTGATCCCGAGGTTGCCTTAATACTTCTAGGTTTTGCAAACATTTCTTTAGTCGTTTTGCTCTTTCCTGATAATTTCTTGTTCTTAAATGTTATATGTTTACCTGGTAAAACTTTACTAATTGATAGCATGACCTTTTTATACTATGCACACGTCTAATTTTTGCAATTCTTATTCTGGTGTTTAACTTCCTGTGTACCAACCTTTTCTACCGGTGCTAATTTTTCCGGTGGTCCGTCAACAACTTTCTTAAGGATCAACTTCAGAAGGACTGTTGCCTTCTCGATAAATGATGCTTTACTCGAACGGCAAAAATTAGAAAATCATTCAGATCTGAGCCTGAAGCATTTTACCACTCAGTGGGTTTTGCAAGAAAAAACGCCTTTTGTAACTATTATTTCACACATCACATTATATCCTTTCACTCATATGAACAATTTGGCCCTCCACATTTTTAAGTACAGCCGATCCTGCGAGCAGATTTCAAGGAGAAATATCAGTACAATGATGAAAGGTAATCCTTGAACGATTGATGATAATTTCCACTATTGATCACATTTTCTACTGTGCACTAGGCGACCACCCGAAATGATGCTGTGATTATTATTTACACTGTTTTAACCTATTATGAAAGGTACGCCTAATTCTTTGTCATTTTCGCTGGCTCATATAAAAGAAATAAAGAGAAAAACTGATCCATCATGGTGCGGACCTGTCAGGTGTAGCGCGTTCAGTCACGACGTGAAAGTGATATATTCACTTTGTTCCACAACGTAAATTATTCGAAAACGTATAATGTTTTGAATTATTTGTATTATAGCATAAACTAAGAGTCCCAGAAATAACGCAATTGAATTAAGAAGTAAGACACAAGCACAAGAGAATGTATTGTATTTGGAATTCGAAATCAAGCATTCAACAAGTACAAAGGTATCATTAGTTCATTCAAACACCACAAAATGTCTACAACCGATAAACTAAATGAACCATACATATCCGTAATCGCTGACTCGAGTTGACAACGCCTGATATCAGTTCAATGTGCCCAGATTTAGTATTGTTGAGACTTTTCCAATCTTAAAAAGGTTTAGCAACTGCCTAAAGACTCTAATTATATTTTTAAGGACTGTTTGGCGCCGTTAACTTTCAGTCAATTGTCGTGGGTTGCTTTCAAATTTTATGGTTACTTGTTCGTGACTGAAGGCCATTCCTCAAGGTTGTACATTTATATGGTGTGGTTATGATGACCGGTGGCGAATCTGGCGATGATGTATGTCTTGATTATGGGTTCGTCACTTTCTCTAGAAAGACACGAAGCAAAAAGAAGATGTGGAGAAAAGAAATCAGGAGATTCGTGCCAGTATTCTAGCACAAATTCTCGATCAAGATGCAAGAGCACGTTGTAAGTTCAATAAACATGCATTTTCTATTCATAGTGAATACCATTGCGATCACAAAGCCAGAAAAAGCTAAAATGGTTGAAAACATGCTCATCAACATGGCTCAAACTGGACGTCTTGGACCAAAGGTATCAATATGTCGTAAAGTATTACTGTGGGTGTATACAGTAGTTGCAAGTGTTGAGATTTGATATTGTAGTTAACTTTACAGACATTCTTTTTTGATTTGAAGTGTTTCAGGCGGGTTTTTTTAGCGATATTCAGCTAATCGTACATGCAAATACAGTGTGCTGGTTATCAATTGACTTACTCGTTTGAGAACGATCATCTCGGAGAGCGTTGTTTCGTTATAATACTTTAACGTTATTATCATTAACTGCAAGATTACTACTTTTGTGGTGTTCTCATCCCAGAATCTTAATAAACGCAAGCCGTTTATTTCGACGTTATGAACTACTTGTAGCTTTCAATGTTAGTGGCTTAGGCTGCAACACTTTAATCGCAAGACTTTTACCTCGTAATTACTTACGATAGCGGAAGTGTTATTGCAGAACGTGAGTACCACTAAAAACTAACAATCACATGTAGTGTGTATTTCATACATCGAGGCCATTGAAGTCCACAAATGTATGGGTCTGTATTGTTCCTTCCCATATATCGTGTTATTGAGATCTCTTCTATATAGTTATATAAAAAGGTCCTCGTATTATGTGTCCTAGTAAATCTGACTAGATCAGTACCTTCCACAAGAGTAAAAGCTCCAGACGCATCACTTTGTTCTCAGGCTAAGAATGTAGTTCTCTCCCAGTAAATGCGGTTTAAGAACAAAAATAGGTTTAAGTATTATATGCTGACATCCTTGGGCAAATTGTCAGCCAGTTTGAAAACACTACCTAGTTGTAAAACAATAAACAATGCAAAGTAGTGGAATAACAACTTGGATCCAAATAATTAACTCACACATGTCAAATTATCCATTGTAGAAGAAAAGGGTCAATTTCACATATATGTTAGGAGTCGGGCTAGGGTTGTGAGTTAGAGTAATCACCTCGGAGGACTTTCGTCACCGACTAGCATCAATTCTAATCCCAAAAGGTTAGGGTCAAATGTTATGTGTTAAACTGAAGTTTTGAGTTAGTTTTACAAATTTGGATCAAGGTTTCCAACACGAACTGATATCAGCTATAATACAACGCCTCACCACTGATGATGTCACAGGTATTCAGTGTTTGACAACGCTTTTACCAGTAACACCTAATATATTTCGTTCCTACCCAGAGAAATCAAAAGACAGAGTCGAGGAGATCGGAAGAGTATATTTGGCGTTGACCAATATATCGGAATTCTCTGATCTAATCTGGCTAGCGATTGTGGTTGATGTTGAGCACGGCGTTACCACACGTGATCTGGTGCGGATGCATGACCGAGCGCCTTCAGCTAGATGAGTCCACTAAAACATATGGTCAGCATCCAATGTCGAAAACTTACAGAGCTATTTATTTTGGGGATTTATTTACCGCTACAGATCACTCCCCCCCTAGTGGGGCAGTGATGACCCTAAGACATGGCCAGCCAGAAGTTTAAACCCAACGAGTTTGTCGTTGGTAAACACTCTTCTGATAGCTTACTAAATTTAGCAGCGTCTGGTCATCTTTCCTTACTATATGGGACCGAGGTACAACATAGTAAAACAAGAAAAAGTTACAACGAAAAATTTCGATTCCTCGTAAACTGCATCGTTCTTTTCCAGCCGTCCTGGAAAAGAAAAAAGAAAGTGTAAGTGCATGTCGAAATACACTCGCATGTGCGTAAAAACACAATGTCGGCGAACAAATGGAAAATATACTCAAGCACACATAATAGCGTTAAAAAATGGTTTTTTTGTTTGTTTTTATTAGTAAAAAAATATAAATATATAAACATATTAAAATTCTTTTTTAAAAAAAAGTATATATCGTAAAAAGAAAGATGGAGATAATATGAAATGTCGATTAGTGCTTTACGTGCAGTAGTCGTTTAAATGTTCTGGAAATCTTACTCTTCTTCCAGAACGCGTCGTTTTAGGTTTATTTTCAGATACATGCGGAGTATCATCGCTAGTATTGGTTGTCGGTTGAGGAATTACGAGTGGAGTCGTGTCGTTCGATTGTAACGAAGGAAAATCGACGTAGATAGGATTTCCTTCTAAGTACGCTGCTTTGAGGCGATCGATACTGATGCTATCGTTGGTTCCGTTCTTATCGACTATATAGTACTTAGATTCACGTTGAAAAACTTTGAAGGGTCCTTCGTATACTGATTCGAATTGTCGTCGATGCGAGTCTCGACAAACGAAAACGTTTGTACTATATCGTAAGTCAGGTTGAACGAAAACATCAGTTGATTGAGGTCGAGTGGAAGCAGGTTTAACTGAACGCATTGCGTTTGTAAGCCTGTTCGTGTAGGAGGTTAGATCCATGTTCATTGAAAAGGACGAAGGATCCACGAATTCTCCTGGAAGTCGAAGTGTTGTTCCATAAACGAGTTGAGCCACAGTGTATCCAATGTCAGCTTTCACTGCAGTGCGGATACCTAGTAAGACAAGTGGAAGAGCGTCGGTCCACTGTGAAACGTTTGCAGCTGATAGTGAAGCTTTCAGTTGTCGGTGAAAACGTTCTACCAACCCGTTTGCTTGTGGATGGTAGGCGGTCGTTCGGAAGCGAGTGATTCTTAAAAGTGTGGTCAGACGACGGAAAAGATCGGATTCAAACTGGCGTCCGCGGTCTGTGGTGATGGATGAAGGGCAACCGAAGTTTGCTACCCATCGTTCGACGAAGGTGCGGGCAACTGTTTCAGCAGTGATGTCCTTGATAGGTACTGCTTCTGGCCATCGAGTGAAACGGTCTACGCAGGTTAAGAGATAAGAGTATCCATTTGAATCTGGTAAAGGTCCTACCAAATCCAGATGAACATGGTCGAAACGAGCATCGGGAGTTTTAAACGAGCCTAAGGGGGATTTATTGTGTCTGATAACCTTAGATTTTTGGCAGCTTACATGGGAGCGTGCCTACTCCCTCACGTCTTTATTCATTCCAGGCCAGCAAAACCTTTCTGCTATAAGCTTGATGGTTGCACAAACACCTGGATGCGAAAGTTTGTGCAATGTGTTGAAGACATTGCGTCGATAATGTTTCGGCACGATTGGGCGATCCCTACCTGTAGATGTGTCACAAAGTAAGGTTTCCTTACCTGTTCCCATCTGTTTGATGCGTAGTTTAAGTGTTGTGGACGATAACTCATGCTGAAGATCACTGTCTTCTTTTTGAAGCTCGGCGAGTTTAAGAAGGTCGATTCCTTGGAAACTGTTCAAGGAAGTTATGCGAGATAAAGCATCTGCAACTACATTGTTTGCTCCAGAGATGTGTTGAATATCTGAAGTAAACTGCGAAATGTAGTCCAGTTGTCGAGACTCACGGGGAGAGTACTTGTCAGAAGGAGAGCTTAACGAGAAAGTGAGCGATTTATGGTCCGTGAAAAGAGTGAATTCACGACCTTCGATGTAGTGTTGAAAATGCCGTACAGCACAATACATAGCTAGGAGTTCCCTACCGAATGTGCTGTACCTCGATTTGGTGTCTAGCAACCTTCTAGAGAAAAATGCCAAGGGTTGCCAGGAGTTGTTAACCCATTGTTGTAAGACTCCTCCGATTGCCGAGTCGGATGCGTCTACTGCGATGCTAATGGGTGCTCGGGTGTCCTGATGTGCGAGCATTGTTGCTTTAGCAATCAGTTCCTTAACTGTGGAGAATGCTTTTCGTGCGTTGTAGTCCAAATTAATGGATTTCGCATTTCCACGAAGTTGGTCGGTTAGAGGTTTCATGAGTAATGCGCATTTCGGTATGAAACGTCTATAGAAACTTACCAGGCCGTTAAACGTGCGTAATTGCTTGACGGTGGTCGGTTCTGGGTAATCCAGAATGGCCGCCACTTTGGTCCTAAGAGGTCGAATGCCTTGAGCATCGATAGTGTGTCCTAGGAAGTCTAACGAGTCGGTTCCGAATTGGCATTTCTGAACGTTTACAGTTATGCCATGTTTTTGAAGTCGTTCGAAAACAAGATCCAGATGCTTGAGATGTGTTTCTCTGTCCGGACTTGCGATTAAACAGTCATCAACATACGCGTGTACGAAGTTGAGACCTCGAAAAACGTCGTCTATGAATCTTTGGAATGTTTGAGCAGCATTCCTTAGACCGAAAGTCATTCGCAAAAATTCATAGAGTCCGAAGGGAGTTATGATAGCTGTTTTCGGAATGTCGTCAGTAGCCATAGGGATTTGGTTATACGCGTTAACCAAGTCGATTTTCGAAAAGACAGTTGTACCTTTCAACGCAGTTATCAAATCGTGAATGTGAGGCAACGGGTAACGATCGGGAATGGTTTTCGCGTTCAATCGCCGATAGTCACCAGTTGGACGCCAATCGTTGCTGTCCTTTTTAGGGACCATGTGCAACGGAGATGCATATGGGCTACTTGACGGTCGTATGATCCCTAAGTCCATCATGTGATCGAATTCGTTTTTCGCTAACCTTAGCTTTTCAGGAGCTAGTCGTCGTGCTTTAGAGAATACAGGTGGTCCTGTAGTCGTGATGTGATGTGTAACATTGCTGGTTACACACGGTAGTTGCGGTTGAGTTTGTGACTGTGACTGGGGATACTCTACAACCAGTAAAAGAAGTTACGCAAACGGACAAATTAGTGTTTCCGTCTACTAGCCTCCGTTTGCGCGTGTCGATGATCAGATTATGGTGTTGTAGAAGGTCCATACCAATAATTGGCATAGAAACATCTGCAACAACGAAAATCCAGTGGATGGGTTTGCGTAAACCCACGTTAAGGTAAACGTACCTTTTGCCATACGTAGCGATCGGTTTTCCGTTTGCCGCCTGTAAGTTTAGAGCCGAATCTTGAAGCCGATGGTTCGGATTCGCTGAGAGAACGCTAACTTCTGCGCCAATGTCGACGAGGTAGCGAACTCTCGTTGTCACATCTGTGACGTATAACAGACGGCTTTGTTCGCCGGCTACGGTTGCCGTTAACGCGTGCCGGCTTGGAAGTTTCCCGAATTGCTTTTCGAATCAGTCGGTTTCGTGTTGGGAAAATTGCAGGGTTTTCTGCAATTTCTGGAAAGCTTTCCATACTGGTTATGATACCAGCACCAGTCGGGGTTATCTGTCTCTCGTGGTCTAGAGACAGATCGCTTACGAGAAATGCTTCTACGTGGGGTGCGCGATCTCTTACGGTCGGTACGAAGACTAAGATAACGCGTGAGTGTGTGACATAAGTCGGTTATATCATTCTGAGTCGTTTGAGGCTTTTCTTTGACTGAAAATACCTCGGTAGTAGACGGTTTCGTAATTTCTAAAATGCGGTCGGAAGATGCAGCTAGTTCGTCTAAGGCGTTGTTCTGGAACGAGACCAGAACTGCTTGCACCTGTTGGGGAAGTTTTGATAAGAAGAGTTGTTTGAATAGACCTTCGTCGAAAAATCTTGGGCCTATAGCCTCTCTCATCCGTTGCAACATGTCTGTCGCAGAACCGTGTTGCAGGTCGATGTTATTGAAGAGTTGATCTAACCTTTGTCGATCGGTTAGGTCTCCTCGTTTAAGAATCGAGCGTTTTAAGATTTCGTAAGGATCGGAAACATCACTAGTAAACATACTAGGCGTTACGTACCTGTTGAATTCGCGCGGTAGTGCCTTGACTACTGCGAGGAATTGTGCACGTGTGTCGATCACGCCGTGCTCGTGGAAGTCGGCTTCTGCGTAGCAAAACCAGGCTTCGATGTTGTCGGGCCAGAAAGGCATCAGTTGAAACGAATGCGAGGACAAAGTCTTAAGCTTGAGTACTTTAGGTGTCTGTTCAGTCATGATGAAGTATGAAGTACGATAATGAACGAGGGGAAAATATATATATCCAAGAAAAAAAACACGAAAAAAATCACAATGTTTAAAAAAAATAAAAAAATAAGGCAATGATATATAAAAATCCCAAAAAGGAACAGACTCACAGTTGCAATTAGGTGTACCAGATCACGTCGGTTTCACCAATGATGATGTCACAGGTATTCAGTGTTTGACAACGCTTTTACCAGTAACACCTAATATATTTCGTTCCTACCCAGAGAAATCAAAAGACAGAGTCGAGGAGATCGGAAGAGTATATTTGGCGATGACCAATATATCGGAATTCTCTGATCTAATCTGGCTAGCGATTGTGGTTGATGTTGAGCACGGCGTTACCACACGTGATCTGGTGCGGATGCATGACCGAGCGCCTTCAGCTAGATGAGTCCACTAAAACATATGGTCAGCATCCAATGTCGAAAACTTACAGAGCTATTTATTTTGGGGATTTATTTACCGCTACACCACCTTTCTGTTGACGAACTTCAGTAATTCAGGATTGACATTCACAGTAAGCATAAAAATGAGAAAACATCATTTAGCTTCACTAAACACTTGATTACGCAATGAACGACATCAAGTAATTAAACACACAGTCTGCATTAGGAGCAGGTATGTTGTGTAATTTATGTCAAGCACCACTTAAAATTTACTTTTTGATTGCAAAATAGATGTGTTTATTGACTTCAAGCATTTAACGAACCAAATATTGCCAATTTTCATTTAGTGAATAACAACGTACATTATCACAGTACTTTGGATTTTGCGCAATACACAAAAGGCATTATCTGACTTGTGCCTGGTCAACTTAAGGCCTTCGGTCCACGTTTTCATGAAAATTTCTTTCAGCATTCTGAAAAGTATGCTCACCACAGTTATTATAGTGTATATGATGTAAAAATGTAAACAGTCTAGACCATTATGTCTTGTAGCATTGACTTTTTTGAGCTATTGCAAGATAGTATTTCTAGGAGCCTTGGTTACATCTATTCATCTTTAGTAGACTTAGTTAGTTCTTATCTACCGGCTTCACATTTCCAATACCCAATAAATAGGTATAACAAGAAAGTTAACGTCTTTGTTATAGATTTTTAAAAGTTGTTGGGTAGAAATGCAACTTCGCAGTCTTCTATGATTAAAGGCATTTTGATCACTTGGATATTTCCAAATAATAGTTCCACTCGAGGGAATCAGAGTAGCCATATGACATATTGTTCTAGCGATTATAAATGAATTTCAGACACATACTGGTTTCTCGATAATTGATTTTTTCACAGCCGTTTGTGTCCACAAACCGTGTATCTTCAGTATATGAGGTTTAAAGCTCTATTTCGTTGTCTCAACCATAAATTTGAACGGAAGTCCTAGTTGTTTTGTTTGGAAAGTATTTCTGTAATAAAGTACTGTTTGTAGAGTAGTTTTACCTTCTTATCTGTGTAGTATGATGAAGTTCCTTGCTAGTCATAAAACATACAGTCAAACAAATACGTTGAGTTTCATCCCGCTTCTCAAGCTTTCGTTGTTCGTGATTGCTAATGCTTTTTAGTATTTTTCTTATATCTAACTCATTTTAGCTGAATGAAGAGCAGTTAAAACAAATTCTCCTGCAGGTCTCTTCGGGTACTCAGAAATCTACCACAGTAAAGGTAGGATATTTAACTCACTAGTTTTACGATTTACGTTCACTTAGTTTGATCGTCGTCGCGCAGCTATCGATTCAGACGAGGATTCACTTTAATGTTTGTTCAACCGAATTTCCGAAGTAAGGCATGTATATGGATGAAGATTTGGAGATATATAGATTTTTTAATTTGTAATAGGAAGATTAATGGCGCTGTAAAAATAATTAAAATTTGACTTGATTGAAATCTTTTTTTCTGAATTCTAGTAAATTGTATGCTCGTCACGATGTAGATTTTTGTATACTTGTATTTGCGAATCGTTAGCAATTAGCGCTTCACAGTTAAGATTATTCAATATTTCCCCAATGCTCAAAAATGAGTTAAGAAACAAGCTATTAATGTTGAATGCTTTTAACATTCAACATCACGTTAAAGTGGTTAAGTTTTGATTATCCCGTTAGATTATCAGCTCTTTAGTTTGAAACGAATTTTGAAGCTATATAATGCAAATATAACCGCAATTATTAAATTCTCACATTTTCGCCAAATTTTTTTCTTAGATATTCGACTGGACATTTTCCATCTTACTTTTTGAACATTACTATCCCTGAGAATCCACTAATTGTTTGAGTTATGTTAGGTCAAGACACTGAATAAATGCAGTTTTCTAAGCACATTGAGAGAACATTTTAAAATGTTTTATATCTTTTGAGTTTTTGAGTAGATTGCTACGTCTTTATATTATGTATAGAGCGGTCAACTGCTACTGTCATTTCATATGATTGAACAATAACATGTCGAAACTCTTTAGACCCAATATCATAGTTGACATATGGCAGAAAACTTATATATCACTTTATCAAAGGAAAACTTGGTTGTGTATTGGACCTTTCGTTTCTTTATCTTCTGACGTGATCATTAACGACAAGGAGTATCAAAATATCTCATTCAATCACAAGTTTCTTCAGAATGTGTCAAAGTGTTGGTCAAGGGTATGACCATTCGATTTTCAACTAGTGGGTCACAATTCAGAATCTCGCTTCACATATTTTAGTTTGTATGGTCAGCATTGATAACAATCACATAATTGTTGCTACAGCATTTCACCATGATATTTGAATCATCTTTCATCTTTGTTAAGACAACCATTTGAGCAACTTGTTTGAAGTAGGATGATATGCGACTGAAACAAATCAATTATAGGAGTTATGAACTTACAGATTTTCAAGTTCGTACCTGTCATTATGACATTAGTTTCATTTGTTTTACATATACTAATAGTTTTTATGCATATTTTCCTTACTGGATGTGGTTTTTATTTGAGCTGAAAATGTATGGCTAAGGTAACGTTTGGATGTTAGTCCCATGTGAAGTTTTATAACCAGAATAACAACTTTGATTCGCAAAAACCTAAACAGAAGGACACTTCTATACTTTAGATCTGACAATAATTTATTTCAAACATTACAATTGGTTTGACTTCTTATCGCACCTCTATGTGGCATATTTCTCTAACCAGTAAATGTCATTCCGATCCGATCAAGTGTTTTGTGACTGCGTGCAAGTACATTTCCTTATAATCATCATTATAGACCAATTGTGCTTATTTTCGTAGGGGTATTTATTCAAGTGTGTAATGTGTCTGTTTTCCAGATTGATGTGTGCATGCTAGAATTCAGGTGTATGTATACCTTACACACTTATTTAAATATAAAGGCTGAGCCACTCTTAAGTCAGTGACCTTAGCCAGAGACTGGTTTCTACTTTTACGCATTATCACTCCGTTTGTCTGCTCATAGATGAAATGCATATATCTTCAATACATTTCATATTTTGACTTTTCAAATTCATGTTGCCGTGAACAATTGTGTCAGTAAATATGTATGAAATCAAACGTCGGATATATATTTTAACTGACATCAAACATGCTTTATAAAAGTAGTGGATTTGAAGTCTATCGCTTACAATATACATATACATATGATAACTGGAGAATTTTGAATACAAATTTTATCATTTACACAGTTTTGTTTACTTATCTCACAATCTGTTTAATAAACTAGTTCGTTCTCTTTCAGTATAATGTAATCATATTTGTGTGTAAGACAAGTAAAATTATGCTGCATAAATATGTTTACAGCATCCCTTGAAAACTAGTGGTTAATCTATTATTGTATAAGTGAAATTAGTGTAAATAAAGGGCACATAGCTAGGAAACTTTCTTGGGGAAAGTGGTGATCTGAAATTTCGGAAAATTATCTAGTAACATTGTTTATGTTAGCAACGGATTTTCCGGATCTCACCAACCTTCAGTGTGTCACATCTTAAAGTTAACATTTAACAATTTATCCAATAAACCTTTACACAAATTTAATAAGCTTGAATTATTGATACTATAAGGACTTCGATAAAAGACCTGTGAAACCATGAGCTTATCTTTGATAATAGAGTTGAGACAAAGTAATTCTATTTGGTTGTAGTTTATCATTACAGAAAAGGTATTGAAATAAAGCATTCGCATTAAGTGGTGTAGGATTTCCTCGTATTTTGTTAGATAAGTTCAACAAATGTTTGTTAATCTGTGGAAGAGAATTGGAATTAACATCATTATTTGAATAACATATTACATGGAATTAACTTGGAAATCCTTTCGAACAACTGGTCCCTATGAAGCTGACTAACAGGTCATGGGCTATCAGGATCGACTTCATATAGAAATAAATATACTAAAATATTTACAAATTTTATAAGATCACATAGTGAATTAATAAATCCAGAATTTTAGCTAGATGCTTCTGAAATGCATATTGACGATTGGTTTCAGAATTTTTGAGATCCAAACTCAGTTATTTAGTATCCTTGCGCAACTATCTTTCATTTTTATGGTCGATATTTTAGCTTTTAGTACTCTATTTCGTAATATCATAGATTCGGGGGTGTATCGTGTTTGAATCTTTGAAAAGGGAAATTTAGGATAACCAGCTCAAATATTCTGGAAAAATTGGGTAGGTGCAGACTACTTGCTTATGGTGTACATGATAATCGATATCTGTGTTTGGAGATGTCTAATGACGTGCCTCATAATCGGTCATAGTGGTGTGTTTGCATTCATTTTCTATCTTCACCAACATATTAAGCTCCAGTCTTCTCGTAAATTTTATGTCTTAAATCCATCGCTTTTTGAACTGCGTTTTCCAATGGTTGCTCTTCTTCACTATTACTATTATTTCAGTTCGATTTATATTCTTAATTTTACCTCATCGAATTGTTATAGTATGGAAATTTGGGCTGTAACATGCATATCCCTTGGCTTATATTGGTTTTGACTAAGTATTTGGCTATATAGTAACCAGTTGTACATTTGGAACCAATCTCAGTTGCTATGTGATAGTATTTATACATTGTTAACTAATTAGTAAGATCGACCACATAAGGATTATCAAATAGTGGAAATTTGCAACTTAAGCGGATGATTTAGTGGTGTTATGTTGTATGAGCTAGATAGTGTAATTGCAAATATTTCATTGTTGTAGACAGCGTCATCAAGTCCTACTGTCAAAAAACTACCTAAATCACGCATCGTGGCAAGCGAAAATGATCAGTTAATATAGATAAAGTTTGTGTTTGATGTCCGTGGGTCGAAGTGAATTAATCCATAGAAATGACCAACAGCTACGCTTATACTGTTTCCAGACTTTATGTACACATGCTTTGTGCTTACGACACATAGATTACTCAATACGGTTTTGATTTTTTTTTTGTTCATCTGGTACAATGATGCAATTAATCCCACCTAACTTTCACAAACCATCTGAGTTTTTCAGATCATTTATTTACGGATTTCGTTTCTGATCAATATCTTTTAATAATAATGAGAGACATTATGCACTTGGTTATTCATGTAGACTTATTGGACTGTTCACCATGGTTACATTCTTATCATGGTATATATTATGATTCTGAAAACAATTTAAGTGTACATTTTTAGGTTTCGTTTGTTGTATGGTCCATTACAGTCAAGAAACTATACTACTTATGTTTTGCAAGTAGTCAAAATGTAAAACATGTTTTTCCAATTTATCATTGGGCAGCTCTATTTATAAAACAAGAAACGTATCTTGAAACGTCTTATTTTATGGAGATAAAAAACCATGATATGAGCAAAATAATACAAGTACATTTAATATTTCGACATTAGTTATATAAATACACTCGAACACTAGTTTACGGTAATGAAGTCGGTCATGAGCAAAAGTAAGTAGACTGGAAAATAGGTGAGACTATAATTTATGCACGACCTTTGAGTGACGCCTTAGTGACCTTGAGAATGTCCACCTACTTACTAGGGCCAAGTGAGGGTTATAAAGGAGTTTGAAAAATAGGGATTATGATTTACAGCTGATTGTTCGGGTTGGGAATTAGATATGTATTTTTCATCACGAACTGACATCAGCTAAAACGGCAAAACGCTGTTTAGACAAATGGATGAATGGAATTCGCTCCAAAATCCGAGACATGTTATCCTAAATCTGATTGGTTCGCCCATAAATTATAGTCTTGCTGTTTGAGGAGTAGCGTTGTATAAATTCCACCATTAAAAATAGTAATATCTCAAAACTACTGAAAAAAAGTGTGATATTCAGTCTGATCACGTTTCTAAGTATTATCTTAATACATACAGTGCATCATGTCCAAAAAGTTAAGACAATTCAAAGTTGATGAATAGAATAAAGATTTAACTGATATGGGGTAAAATTAAATCACAAATTTATCAGATGAACGTCTGATTTGTAATTTCAGCGATATCAATGGTCATTTCGTCATCTCATGCGCTTAATCTACTAACAATTTCTAAAGTGAGCATTTCAGGAAAGTTTGGAATATTCTGATCACTTTTTTACATTTCATTTACAAATTGAATAGATTAGATAACCTACTGAGAATTAATTAGTTCTCTCTTAATACTAGGTCATTCGTTGAGGTCACTTATTTGTCACATTCGGAAGCATTTATCAGTGTAACTTAGTGGACGACAAAATAAGTGAATTATGTTGTCGATTCTGAGACACGTGGTAGATACGGAAAATTCGTACTTTGATTTTTCCTTTGAAACCTT